TGTTACGCTGTAACCACTGTACACAATTAATGCAAAGGTGCACCCAACTTAATTATAAGATCGGCTTTCAAGAATCAAAATTTTTTTCTTACCTGCGAAGCACTAATAACATCCGCCGTCAATAAGAAAAATCAATGGATTAGCTTCAACGTACTCTTACCTATGCGTGAAAAATAAATTCCCACCAATTGTTTGCCAATAGTAATTTCTTAAGAGTTTCACACTATTATTAGAATATACGCGTGCCACCAATTAATTATAGTGGAACAGATAAGGCAACAATGTTCGCATTACGTTCTAAAAAGGTATTATGAAAGTGTTGTGTGCTTACTGACTTTTGGCGTTCTCGCGTTCGTTTGAGTAAACAAGAGAATGTTTATGCCTTGTTATCTTGAAAGTCTGAAAGAGACCGCGTGCGCGCGCGAAAGATCGAGCGAGAGTAAGAGAGAGAGGAGAGAGACGACAAATAAAAAGAGGCAGAGGCTGGGATGAGAAAGGTAGAGTAACATTTTTGACAAATCCTAAACATAATTTATCACGTTTATATAATTCTATAAAGTTAAAATTTATTTTTATTTACTTATTTCTATACAAATATTTATATCATTGATTATATTTTTCGACTAATACTACGATAAATAATAGTGTTTTAACATATCTATATATTTATATAATATATTAACTATTTAAAAAGTATATAAAATTAAATGTATGATTATGTTAAAATTATTTAAAATTGTTAATTTAAAATGAACATTACGTTTTAGAATATAATTAATGCAAAACAAATAATAATATAAATAAAATCTTTTTATAACTGTAATATGGCAGTGCATAAGATAAATTTTTTTACACCAAATTACTTATAATATTTTATAAACAGTGCACGTTAATATATTTTTTGTTATGATTTGCATAAACACTAGTTAATTAACCTAAAATGTTTTTTATTCTTTTTCTTTTTTTGTAAGCATTACGTTATAATACGCAATATCATAGTAAGATATTTATTAGAACTTATTTATTATTTTTATTGTTTTTTTTTATTAATTAATACTTTCAAAGAATAATGTATTCTTATGGATTGTTCAATATCAATTGTTTTTAATCAGTGAATATCGATAGACTATAATAAATACTACTATTATTACTTATAAATAATTAAAATAACTATTTTTATAAAACCTAGTTATATTTTTCGACTGTAATGAATGGCAATGGCTATTCTTATTTACAGTATTCATAATTTATAGTTGCCAAGTTTTTTTATGCCGGAGGTGCACAAAACTGGTGCTCATGAAATCTGACTAACAATTAGAAATATATCAATGTCCCCTGTCCAGCGTAATAATATTTCTAACGATACTTTATCAATCCGTATCAAGCGCGGATATGAAAAAGTATCAACGATTTCTTAATCACGTTGTGAATATAAGCGCAAAAATTTCCTAACAATCTAACAAGATCGCCTCCTTAAAACGTCCAAATAATTGGCTCTATCCATGGTAGTATAGTAAGTGAATATCGTCACTACCGAACTCCGATAATCTCCGAGCTCGTTATGTCAAACAATGTGAAAATTCGAATTCCGTTATCCTCGTAGCGAGTAGCCTGAAAACAATAGGCCCTCTATCGCTCACCACCCCCGCCCCACTCCCCTACGAAAACCATCATAAAACGTCGAAAGAACGTCCTACCATAAAAAAAAAAAAAAAAAAAAAAAAAGTTAATCATTAACGGTTGGAGGACCCTCGGCGAAATCGGCGACCATTGCCAAAGCGCGATTGAACGAGTCGAACGGACAAGTTGTCCCGCTGCAGCCGGGCCAAGTGAGTAATCGTCGTCTCTTTAAAGCAGATAAACCCGGATAAATTATTAAACACTTGGCAGTTAACGGAAGGCTCCAGCATCCCGACTGTACTGCGCCACGGTCGGCAAAAGAAATGCTCACGCCGATTTTGCCGGGCGCGCGAGCGCGCGTCGCATATTATGAGCCTGATAAATTGCACGAGGGACATTCCGCCGAGTCTATTCCGATCGACGTCCGGTTCTCACGCGCGGACCCTTTTGTGCCATTGCTCTTGCAAAATTGCCGTAGGTCGTGCTGCCGATAGCATGGAACGCATAACGCGAGGGCTCGGGTCTTTTTCTCCATTTAGCCGCGAGTGAAAGGTGCGTCGAGCTTCCGATTTGCGTGGCGAAAAATGATGGTTGTATTGGTTGTGCTGGCGGTGGTGGTCGTGGCGGCCTTTTTTTTCGAGCCTGTCCGAGCATTGATAACATTCGGAGAAAATGTTTTCGTAGCCATTCGTTCTCCGAAGTAACTAATGGAGGGCATGAAAGGAGGAATTGAAATAATTTATAGTGTTACATTTTATATAACCGATGGTTATTCCTCTTATTCTGGCATTTCTCATAAGTGCTTCGCGTAATCGACCTAATTATTAATGCTCGCATCAATTACTCAAGCATATACTTTGCTACTGCGTTATAAATAAATTGTCGCGAATTGCAATGTCGATGATGGATGCAGCGAAGAAAATGTAAAAGGCATAGCATATTATGGCGCGATGGCACGATAATGATTCTCAGTGAAAAATTGATTATCATAATGATGACGTGTGTGGAGAAGTGAAGTAGAGAAAAAATATTGATCGCCATAACGACCAAAATTCATTTTGCCAAATGTCAGGACCTTTGTACGTCCTTTTTTCTAACATCATTCAATACAGTAAAATTTTACACTTTTGTCGCATTTTCGCATTGGTTATTTGTATTTCCGACTTTCTCAATAATGAATTTCCTCTCTTGACTATCCGGAACTTTCCGGTCCCGAAAACGACGAAGTTAAATCATAATTAATGCACGATAAGCCTAGAAATACGTGTCTAGTAATGCTGATAATGCAAGCAGGAATATATCATTTCCTTGAAAGTTTCTGAAACAACGATAACGTAATCATATGTTCGGTTTAAATGTCAAGCCACCAAGTCACTTCCTCGTGTCCAACGGTGATAACATTCCTATAAACGAGCGTCTATCATAAAAAAAAAAAAAAAAAGCCAGTGCTCGACAAGTCCAATGTCCTTAACGCGTATATCCTGCTTCCTTCTGGCACGGCGCTGAAAAAGCGCACACGTAACCAACGTAACAGACGTCGTGAGTTAACACACGCCTTTGGAAAAAGGACGTCGCTCGTTTGGGGAATACGATGTGCCGCCAAGAATTCTTGCTTACGCAAGACTTACTTTTTCCATTCGGCTCGAGTCCACAATAATTTTCCTTATCATCGTCTGTGCCCACCTCTCGATACGCACGTGACTAAGGCGCGACGAGTCGGGCTTATCTTTGACTTGGAGCGCAGCAACGCGGATATTGGAAATGCAAGAATCGAGCCGAAAACGTATGGTTGGTATTACGCATTTTGTGCCCGTTGCAAGATGCAAGAAAAGCATGTCAAAGACTGAAGATTGAGGGTTTGTGTGGGGGTGGGCGTGGGGAGCGGGGGGGGGGGGGGGGGGAGGGGGGGGAAGGTGAATGAGAGAAGTTCTATTTTGTCGGCAAAAGTTTTGGATTTTTATTTGACTTGAATTTCAACAAGAACTTTCTCATTTCATATCTTTTTCATTCGTATACCAATTCTCTATGAAAACTACATCAATAAAGACATTTTGTTTTTTAATAAAATAATAAAATAATAAAATAATAAACAAAATGAATATTTTTTCTCGACTAGGCAGAGACGTGAGATATGGTGAAGCGAGAAAACGTTTTACATACGTACCAAGGAAGTTAAAATAAAAGTATTTTAAATCTAAAACAAATTAATGAAGTTACATTAGCCATGACGGCAATAGATATAATAAATTAATATAATTTACGATTCGCAAAGATCAAAACCAAACAGCAAGTCATAATTCGATTAATTATTAGCAGAAACTTGTCTCTACTAGCACATTTTAATATTCAATTCCAATAGAATCAAATGTTATCAAATAATTTTACCCATCATTACTATAAATTTAACATGATTTAAAATAGTATCAAAATTCCTTAATGACTAAAAAGAAAACAGAATTTTTAATTATGAAATTGTATTGATATTTTTTTTCCATGCCATTATATAATTAATTAAATTATTTTTCAATAAATTTCTGGCGAATGAAATTGGAATAATTGCTTATATATAGATTCAGAATTAATTTTTCAAATTTAATACGATGAATAAAATTCCATTACACTTTACTTTTTCGTGCATGAAAGTAGAAATTTATGTATCTCCATTAATACCATATAAATTATTGTATTAAGAAAATGCCAAACTTCAAGTATGTATTCAAGATTTAAAAGAAATAACATAAATTCCATTTACTTCAAGAACCGGTGAAATATTTCAACCTATTTTTTTTTGTTTTTTGTTTTTTTTTTGTTTTTCATATATCTAATTTATGCATATAATTCGATGGATTTCATTTTTCAAACGCAAATTTCTTAAATCGCTAAATTTCATGACAATAAAGCTATAAACGGAAGCACATTTTGAATCCGACTGAATGAGAAAAATGAGCGGACAACTGTTTAATAGTCGATTGTTGAATCTAATTATGTTGGAGAACAGTTGGAATTAATTCATTATTCAGTAATAAATTACAGTACACACAAATATATGTATGGATATTATAATTAAATTTCGCATAAAATCGAACAAATGGAATTTCTTCGCTCCTACGTCGACAGGACGTTAAGTAAATCCAGCGCGACTGCAAATATTATTGCGAAAATGGAATCGCGCTTACAACATCGACCCTCTCCAAAGTCATTAAGCGACGAAAAATTAAATTAAACCCCCGAACGTAAACGGATCCCAATGGATGAAAAAAAAAACAAAAAAAAAACAAAAACAAAAACAAAAACAAAAATCAGCCAAAGAACAAATGCACCAGGCTTAAAAGAAAAATCTTCCTTCCATAATACTGAACAGATTTTCATTTCCAGGAAACTGATGGAGAAGGGCTCCTCGGTCCCTTGGCAAGACGTACTGCAGGAGGCGACGGGCGAGGCACGGCTCGACCCATCCGCTCTCAGGGAATACTTTCGACCCCTGGAAGACTGGCTGAGAACGGAGAACCTCAGAAGGAACGAGCTCGTTGGCTGGACGTACGGTGAGTTTCGCGCTCAGACCATAACTCCAGCGGTCCCATTATCCTTTGTGGAACGAGGGCACCCGGGAACAATCGACGCGACAAGCGCCCCCAGCTTCTCCTAATTGACGCCCAGTCGTTCGATTAACGGCCGACGTTGACGGGAGTCTCGCTTTCCTCGGTGCGCGGCGCCTTTTACGGAAATATTATTACGCCGTCCAAATCCCCGGCTTATCCATGGCGATGGCGCCCGCACACAACCGGGATTATCCCCCGGGAGCGATTCGATGGGTGCGGACGGTGCGAAGGACCGAGTGGAAAACAAATTTCCTATGAGTAGCTTACATTGTTCTTGGACGCCGTTGCTAAAAGAAAGCTGGTTGTGCCAGTTGGATCGGAACGATTGCCTATTAAGTTTAATCGCGTTAGTGGATTATTTACCGATAATTATTTATCGCCGTAACACGATAATTCCTTGTAATTTGTAAGACTCTAATTACGCATTATAAACTGGAAATTTCATATTACATAGTTATTTTCGTAAATAGTGTTAAATACTTGTGTATTTTGTTTGTTTTTGTTTTTTGTGTTCACGTGTCGATTGGTAGGTAGGAAAGTAATGGTAATTAAGCCAAATTTCAAAATCCAATGCTTTTAATCTACGAGAAGTTTACGCGATAAATTAGCAATTACAAATGGTATTAATAATACTAATAATAACAATAATACTAAGAAATAACAATAATCATAATCGCAACAATGATAATAAGGATAGTAACGATAAAAATACACCTCATTATAATTATTATTATTTTGCTTAAACAATAATATTAAATCATACGCATGGTATTCTATTATTCCGATTTCGAAATATGCGAAACAAAAAAGAAGCAAAGCGGACAGCAAAGTACGCGTCGACTTATAGCGTCAAATTCAAATTCAATGCGCAGACGTTTGGTGAGAATAATTTATAATGTTAATTGAATAAGCAAGCTTTATTTTCTATTTTCTTCTTGATTTTTACGCTTATAATTCATTATTAGAGTTAATAATAATGAACTGGATAGACCAAGGGCTAATGCAAATGACATGGAGAAAATGCGTGTAGATTTATGAAAGACTTAGTACATTTTTGGAAAACTGCTTGATCTATAAATGTCTGGCGAATAAGCTCGATATATAAATCATTATGTAAAATATCATAAAATTTTCATAACCTTAATAAATTATTTATCAATAATTATGGATAATAAAAATTTTAAGTGTACGACTTTAGCTGTCTTACCTCTAAGTACGCTTATGAATTTATAATCAATTGAATAAACTATATAACTCGTTCTTTATAAATATTTTAGGCCATAAAATATAAAGTTACGTCTCTATAACGGAGAAATAAGCAATTAAAACATATGCGAATGAAAGATATGCGTGCGCTTTTCACTCATAGCATATCCAAAGTATTAATTTGTCAATGATAATTCTTTTGTGGTCGTAAATTTGAATGATGAAAATGAACGAGAAATAAAAAACAAAAGAAAGAACAAAAAAAAAAAAAACAAAGTTCAATGGGACTTGAGACTCTTTCAGCAAATAAATAACAAAATACATAAAATATCGATGAACTCCGATGTATTACGACGAGATATTAGGATAATTTTTTACTTATTTTCGTATGCCGCTTCGTTTGGCTCCCAATGCTCATGGAAGAAAAAGAATCTTAAAATCCCAAGCCAATGCTCGACAAAGCCAAGTCATACATAAACAAATATATTTGAAGTGTGAAAAAAATATGTAAGCATTAATTATATAGTACAATACGCAGAAGAAAGCAGCGGGCGAAGAACATGTAATACGTGTCCGGTAGCCGAGTTTTGCAATCAATCATGAACGTACTCATATAGGTAGAATTATATATAAATACGTATATGCATATATATATATATATATATATATATATATATACATTCGTTGCCCTAAAAAAAAATGAAAAATATAACAATTAAAGACCTACTCATATAGGTAGAATTATATATAAATACGTATATGCATATATATATATATATATATATATATACCTTCGTTGCCCTAAAAAATACTGAAAAATTTAACAATTAAAGACCACGAATATCTAGTAGTACCTGTGCTCAATATTAACCTGTAGCCTCCCTCAAAGAGCCCCCCCCCCCCCCCGTTAACAATTAAAGACCACGAATATCTAGTAGTACCTGTGCTCAATATTAACCTGTAGCCTCCCTCAAAGAGCCCCCCCCCCCTCCGCTTACAACCACGCTACACCACTAGCCTACGTAATCTATAAACATATGCATCGAGGCAATCTGCGCGGCAACGGAGATCTAAGCTCGGCCCGCTCGCCTTTCTAATTATCGGCCAAACTGATCCGCTCGCGGGCCTCGGTAACCAAGTTATTTTATATATCCCGCGCCGTGCGCAGGCGCGAGGCCGAATCCCTCGCGTGACATAATCATGGGAAGCCGCGGATGGGAACTCGCTCGCGAGCGCTGCCAACTTTTCGCGAGGGTCGCGAATCTTAATGACACGCGATCGCCGCTATTGCCCAACGATATTTATATATATATATATATATATATATATATATATATAGATGGACGATTCATCTTGTTATCTAATTACGCGCGGCCGAGACGAGTTTTTCCCTTATTTACGACCGACCGCGACCGACTAATCATTTTACGAGGCGATTCGCAAGTGGGCCGCGCTTTTGTAAATTGGCCGATTGGATGGTTGCCAGTGCCGATATCATCGTCGTGCATTTCTATTTCGCTTCCTCCTTCCTTAGGGCGATGGGGCGATGCCTATCGCGTCAGTAGCTCGCTTTTAGCATATCTATGAACGATGAAATGCTTTCCCTATTTCTCCGTTTCTCTCATTCCTCCTTCTTCTTCCTTTTCTTCATCTTCGATTTTCCATTTTGAGATAAAACTTGTGGCCCTAATTTTTAATCAATCTCGCGTATTCTCTCATTTTTTGATAAAACATTTTAATTTTCACGTTTTTCATATTGCGAGCGATTATTGATTTTTGGCAATGATTTTACTGGTCTCGGAATATCAGAATAAATATTGCTTTTGCAAAAAAAAAAAAAAAAAAAAAAAAAAAAAAAAAAAAAAAAAAAAAAAAAAAAAAAAAAAAAAAAAAATAGAAATGAAAAACAAGGAGAAAAAAGAAAATGGTTTAGTATTGAATTTTGACTTATCAATCGAAATAAGTTGGATAATAAAATTCACTTTTCACGTACGACAATGAGGCGTGTGTGTCAATCTGTCAAAAATTCGATATTTCGACACGGGATTTATACGATCGTTTTTGGTATTTTCTTTTCATTTATATATCGTGAAACTGTTAATGCATGCTCGACTTTTATAAAAAAAAAAAAAAAAACTTCGAAATACAAATCATTTTGTGATAGACATTTTTATATTAAAGCATAATTGTCGCAATTGTTATTTGAAGAATTTTAATGTAGGTAAAAATGAATTAAATTTAGTTAAGCACTAAATACAATTAAATGATTAAATTGTTATACTTAAAGCATCCGTTAATTAAGACAATTTGCTGTTGAATAAATATTATTTCATTATGGAAACTACGAGACATCGAAGGTTAATGAATACAAAAAAATATAAAGGCATACATTATAGTTCGTGAGAAATTTGCGCTTTATTAAGCCGCAAAAAAAAAAGAAAATAATAAAAACCAAATACATCATTAATTGGGCATCACAAAAATACTTAAAATTAGCCCCTTAATTACGTAAAAACAAAGCAAACAGCAAAACAAAACAATAAACAATAAAGATAAAAAGTGGACAATTTAGGGCTGGCTGTAAACAACCGAATCACAAGTCGAAACAACTCGATTCTTATTTACGTGAAAGTCAATTCCGATTCTATTTATGAGCAAGCCTAGTATATTAAATCACCGGCGCAACAGAATGGAATGTCCTGTCCCGAAGAAACGCGGAGTCCTACTTTAATTCTTGCGATGTTAATATGCTTGCAACGAGAAAAATTTAAAGGGTAATAATATACCAGTAGGCGCTGCCGCGTCGTTCAACGTTTCTCAAAGCCATGCTGCTCGTCGTTATTATAAATCATGGCGGCGTTATTGGGGTGGGGTGGGGTTGGGGGGGGGGCGACGATTGGAGGAGGAGGAGACGAATTAGCTCGTGGGCGAGGTGATCCTGATGCGTATGGAAGGAGATAGATTATGAAAACTCTTAATATATCCATTGTGATTTGTGTGAGAAGTCGAGGTATTGCGCAACTTGTGAATACGTGGCCCGTGCCATGTGTCTTGTATCACAGAGCTGAAATGCACGAGCGAGAGTATAGGATGCAAGGAGCGTGCAAGAAAGCCTTCTCTTACTCCGAATTTTTTGTATTTCTACTTATCTTTCTTGTTGCGCGCACGTAAAAACGCTCTATTGCCAATTCGCCACGGTATAACACATACGAAAGGTTAAGCTCGCTTTTATTTTTATCTATGGCGCGCTGCCCTTTACGTGTATAACGCGCGCGCGCTCTTTTGAAATCAGAATTACAATGCTTATGTCAGCTATTATACATGGCAATTAGGATTTTTAGCTGTGAGGGACATCGGGCCCATCGCATCGTTAATCGCCATTACTTACCTCTTAAGTTTTACTTAAATTGAAATAACATTTATTCGGAAGTACGTGCAATTACGTATTAGGCTCTTTGCGTCAGTCGCGTGACCTTTGCTTCTCCATAAAAGACTCAATATCTTAGCTTAATTAGCATGGCTTTGTCGAGCAGATAAATTTTGCCATGTAAGAGTTTGTTGAAAGCGATCTCAACAGTCAGGCTTACGCAATAGTTATGGATAAGCGTTTAGTCAACGGTCTTAGTACCGACATCTTTTAAATCATAAAGATCTCGATTACTTAAAAATACCATTTGGAAATACTGATTCATACGAAGGGAATTTTTTTTTTTTTTTTTTTTTTTTTTTTTTATGTTCATTTTTTTTTTAATTCAAGGCGATTTAATGTAATGATGCCAGGAGAAATAATTAAGACGCATAGCTTTTGTGTAGCTTCGATTATGTACATGCTATGTTGATTGCCAATGTTTCGTAAACATTGCAAATCACTTTTTCAAAGGAGAGCTGAGCTGAAAATTTTATGCTATGTTGTCACAAATAAATACTAGATAACGATCCGTGCTATTAGCCAATGATCTTTAGCTTTAATTTTCTGATGATGAATTTGATTGAAATCGAGCTTTAAAAAATCGACAATTAGAATGTCAGGCTGGGATAGTGGTATTTATGGTTTGCGCTAGTCTTGTATTAAATTACGATTATTCACAATTATTTCGAGCGAAGACGAGCGCATTAATAAATAATAGACTTTATTTTTATTGCCGTTTCTCTCAACTGATTAATTACGTCTTAAACTTTTCTCGATGCGAGTAAAAAATAATTAATTTAATATCTAATCTCCGTAATTCGCTCTTTAAATTCGAGTTGACGACAAATCAACAATTATTGCAAATCTTATAAGAAACAAAGTATAGAAGCGATAAGCGAATTAAAATCATCGACAAACAGATAAGAAAATCGTAAAAATATTTTTACGAGCCTAGGAGGAAGAAAGGGATATTAAGATAAGAACAATATGTATTATTATTAGTGCTTCGCGTGTTTAAAGGCTGATCAAATCATTAATTATTCTACTAATTTAGTGCAATGATGAGGAAAGAATACATTCAAGATAATTTTCAATGCTTTGTTATTCACACTTTAATAATCTTTGAAATATTTTATACATCTTGTATAATGTAAGTATACATTTTGGAAAAATACCATTTTTCATATTAAATTATATTAAAATCGACTCCCTACTATTAATGACAATTTCATTGTGCACTATGAAAAGTTTCAAGCGATAAAAGAAAGCTGAACATTGTAATACAATATATACTTTATTGGATGAATCTGTGATTTACCGTAAACTAATTGGTAATGATAATTAAATGATCTTGATATTAATGACCATTGATATTCAAGTGATTTACGCAAAATTCTTTATTTAATAAAATATCCAATAGTTTTTCTTACAGCCATTTTCTGACAAAAACGAAATTTTTAACATCCCTATGTACTTTAGATTAATTTGGATTTATTTACATGCATATGGACGTGCCTATAGGCGATAAGATAAGTTGTTTTGGTTAAATTTAAAGTAACGATCCCGATGATTACATTACAAAATATCAATATTTCGTAAGTAAGTAAGGTAAGGCTCGGTCGTGTACAACAGTACATATAAACACTGTGAAACGACTATGATAAGAAAAAAAGCTTACATTTATTATGAGAATTTCATTCAGCATCAATCATTGACTGTCTGGTTGAGGCCGAGATTCACTGATTGTGTCAAGTTGAGATTGCAACGATACGCTGATCGCCGACATTTTTAAATACATAAATTTTAATAAAACAAAATAAATGTCCTAGGTTATCGATAACTGCACATAAATTACGTCATCGCCAATTATGCATCGGTCGTTGGCTTATAATTTTTTACTCGCATCAGTAGTTCAATATACGAGGCATAAACATTTTTCGTACTACATTTTCATCCTACACACACAACCGCACACACGCACACACACACACACACACACGCACACATTGTGTTACACGAAGCATTTCCGTCTCTCAAACGAGAAATAATGAAATAGACGATAGATAAATTGCGATTGGAGTTTTCACCATTAGAGCGACTATTTTAGGGCTCCTACGTGCTTGTAAGTGAAGAAAATGCTGCCTCATTCTTATATTTAAGATTCGTATCGGCACTCCTGACAAATCGTGGCCCGTAGATTCGACTAACGAACGCACGAAAAAACAACGGATACATTTTTACAATAAAATCATAAATGTTTCAGATGGTGACTATTGTAAGCGCAGCATCGAAACAGTGGGTCTACAAGTCTACGGTAGCGGCTTTTACAACGGCGCCGTAACTCTCGGAGCATCGCTAATACCGAGTCTCCTGGGCTTGCTCTTGTTTGCCTTTTAACCAGCTTCAAACGCACATGATAACAGATACCGCACAAAGGCTCACTGCTACAAAGAAGAAAATCATGTTACTTTCTTATTATCGTCCACCTTCCCCTCATCGCTCATACTCCATCGCGCGACCCGCCCGTCCCCTCTCCCACGGTCTCTCGTTGCTTTATTCCAGTTCGCCTACCCGCCAAAAACGGAGGGAGTCGAACGTGAAAGGAGACGAAGAGACACGCAGAAGCATCTTCTCCGGGCAGATAAAAGGATCGCGTACGAATAATGGGCTCCATTATCCCTCGACTCGTCCATTATCGAGACGTCAAGCCGAACGAGCGCATTGACGCATCGCTGATTTCACATTTCGTTTCTCCTTCTTATTGCCAATCCGTGTAGCACTTTATGCATGAGAATTACGTGGGGCAAGACAAAAAGGGGATTTCTCAGACGGAGCAGTGGAATGCGGAACGAGTGCGCGATGTGGATCGTGACATTAGACGGTAGTTCTGTCGCAAGAAGCCTATCAACCAACACGTGTGTCATTAGATTTGCAGTGCATGTGGCGCGCAGCTGGTGCACGATTACACCCCCCCTCCCTCCCCTCCCCCTGCTCCGCCATCAACCACCTCCCATCACACACCCGCCACCATTCCCGTAACATCCCATCCCCACCCCTCACCGCTTACAATGCTAATTATGCTACGAGCTGCGAAATCCATTGTATCGGCGGCGGGCTGACTTGTCATTAATTAAACCGCTTTAATTAAAACTAAATGCGTGTGCAATTGCCCGCGCGGCCGAGTGTCCTTTTATTACAATCTCCATTGGGAAGCGAGGATGAGGAATCTATACGATATTTAACGGAAACGGGATGGTTTTGTTCGATTGGTTGTTAAGGCCGAACGGTGGAGTGTCGACCGGGGGGTGACTGGGGAAAACGGGGTGTCGGAGCACTTGCCGGTATCTAAAAGAAATTAAGCGCGATAACGAGGGAGAAGAAAGGATGGCAAAATATTCTGAGCCATCATACGATCAATTTCAAGTCTTACATATTCCCCGCTAAATAGATATGTCGATTACATAAATTAATAATCGCCGCTCGCCGAGCAGTCCATTTCTTTTTATATCTTCATTGTATATTTTACTAGTCACGCTTCGGTTGCCCGGTAGTCTCGAAGAAAGCGGAGGCCTTCGCCACGAGTGCAAAGCATCCTCTCCTCATCGTCCGCTCGAGACGCTTTCCACGCGGTTCCCGCTTTTGAGAATTAGATCGCGCACGCGCCCATCGATCGGTGTTTCCTTTCTAAACCCCCCCCCCCCCCCCCCCCCCCCCCCCCCCCCCCCGTCTTTCTACTCTTCCGCTGCCCGCCCGCCCGACCAACCGCCTGCAGCACAACGGCCGAGTGCCCGAAAACTAGACGAAATCTTGCGCAATCGGATTGGCATGGACGTCGAGCGGGACTTCGACACTTTCACCGATAGAGTCCGATAGCATCGTTGCCGCGCGGAAGCAGCCGTCCGTCCTTCTCTATCTGTCCAAGGACGGCCCTTCCTCGCCCAGAGCAATGAGTGGCATGCAGATTTGGTA